AAAGTTTTGGGGGGTACCCACGAAGGACGTTGGAGTATACCCATTCCGCCAGCCTATATTACATAACCCTACCTTACCTCTATTAGGCTATACGCTTCCTATTTGGACAAAGCTAGTCTAGATTTGTCTAGGTCCTTCTAGACTAGGAAGAAAGTAGTCTAGTCCTTCCCCTACTTTCTTTACAATAGCAAGCCCTAGCAGTCACAAACCCCTAGCAATACCCTAGAATTTAGGTTACAATTAACTCTAATTTAAGAGAAATATAAGAAGTAGTAGGGTAGCTTACTAGACTCTGTTCTAAGCGCGCTTAAGCACTACGCAAAGGGGGGAGCAATTTTATCCTACAAGCTAGTTTTAGCCTAATAGGAAATTAGCAAGCTTTAAGCAGCTAATAAGGCTGCTACGCAACAAAAATTACACAAAAGAAAGCAGGTTTAGAAGGAAGGGACCCTAATAGTTAGAGATAGGCAGCGACTAGCAGCTCTAAAGGAGTTTGGGGCGCGTGGTGATGGGAAGAAGCCAAAGAAGCAGGTGCGCGCTTAAGAGGGTGAGCCAACCTAAAGGCGCTGCAGAAGGTGCAATCAGACTAGCCACAACGCGCGAACGTGCAAGATTGATGTAGAAGTAGTCTCTGAGTGATATTATATGCCGTAGTCTACCACAGAGTGCCAAAGTGTGGTGTTTTAGGCCATAATAGGTCAGGTTTTGGTGGGGGCTTGGCAAAAGTGGCTCGCTCGCCCGTGGGGTACGTTACAACTACTTGCTATTAAATAGTAACCTAGCATACTGCGTGCTTGCGTTAGATTTAGAAGATGTTTCTGCACCCTCCTGGCACGTTTGTGCGTTGTGTCCAGTCTTGCTATAGTTCCTACAGCGCTGAACAGTTGACTAAGCTCCTAGTTAACCACCTCCACCCCAAGTCTTCTTAGATGGCTGAGCTACTACACACGCCTCAGCAGCTACCCGCGATGCTGCTAGGCCATACTCAAGTATGCCACTATGCTGAATCTGCTTTCTCTTACACAATTTTCTCTTAGTTATTACTGCTAATTGCTCTTCAAGCTCTCGCACGCAGGCCTTAATAAGGATATTTTTATATAGTATCTCTTTAGCCCCTTTTATAAGCTTTAAGAACCCCTCTTATACTATACTTAGTAATTATTAGAAGGAGTTACTTATAAGCTTAGATTAAGACCTAAACTTGTGTGTATTGCTTAGCGTCTTAGATTGCTACAGTATTTTAGGTAGAGGTACTACTAGTAGGGTATACAGCTACACTTTAAGGCAATCTAACACTACCTGTGTGTTAGTAGGAATAAGCCCTAATGCCTTAAAGGCCTTTTAGTAGTTAACCTTTATAAATATATTAAGGAATATATCCCTAAAGGCTAGTAGGAAGCCTTCCTTATTAATATAGAAGATATATTAGCATGCTAAGTCTTAAATATATTAGGAGTACTTATACTTTAATAGTAAGAAATAGACTATATTAAGTAGCTAGAAGATATATAATAAGTAAGGTAGTATATAGAGAGTAAGGATTTAGTTCTCTAGGTAATAGTCCTTAAACTCCTAGTTAAGATAGCTCTTATAGCTGTCTAAGATAAGCAACCTATACACCCCTACCTAACACATCTTTATATACATGTTAAAGTGCTTTAACTACTTAAGGCTAAGTATATTATTTATCTAACTATTCTTAGAGACTAAGAGCTTCTAATTATAGGGTATATCTATCTCCTTATACTAGGCAGAGATGTAGACGTGTCCTTTGTAGATAATAAAAGGCAGGGTTGCATACCTAGCAGCGCAGATGCTCTAGATAACAGTAACCTACTCGCAATCACCTGGCTGAACAAGCTCTAGCTAAGCACGTCTCTCTAAGCCTGTTACAACCTTTAAAGACAAAGCAACACCTATCTAGAACCTAGTTTTATTAAAGTTATGTATATTATTATTACAAACACTATACTTAACTTAAGTATCCTCTACTAGCTTAAACTACACGCTAATTATCTTAGGATCTTCCTATAGTATCCTCTGTCTATCCTTAGCTTAATTAAAGGCTATTTTAAGCTTGTCTAAACACGTTATAAGCCTACTAGCCTATTATTTACTAACAGGCTCTTCACTATGCACACTAAGTATCTTATTAGCTATATCTGCTACCTTATATAGCTAGGGCGCAAATCCTTATAAATTAAGGTTAAGTATATACTAGACAATTGTCTGCTCCTCTAGTATAGTAAGTTTCTAGCAATTAGTATGTATGTCTAGTTAAAATATAATATTGCAAAGGCAATTAGAGACCTGCTAATAAGGTACGTTCAACACTCTAGCAGCGCTGTAGATACTGTGAAATTAGCTAGCATAGAAGGCCTAGATAGCAAGGATAACTCTACCTTCTCTAGTAGTATTCTGAAGTTGTTGTTGTTAAGGCATGTTGTGTTAGGGTAAAAGGTGGTCGTGCTAAGAGAAAGTGGCCAGTTTGGTGATATGGCTGGCTCGGTGATAATCTACGTTACTATATTAAGTCACTAACAATCCTTAATCCTAGGTTTGACTAAACTTTAGAGTTATAATTGTACAACCTTATTAAAGACTATTGCTGTTATGAAGGCCCTTCGCGTAAGTAAGCTCGCCAGCCATCCAGCGTCTTCAGTGACGATTGCGTATCTGGATGTTGTCCGCCAAGGACTTGCTCGCGCAAGTGGAAGCATAATTTTATCAAGGCAACAGCCTCCATATGACAAGACTGCGACCACAGTGTGTAGGCAAGGTTGGCCATGCTAGTCAGCGTGTCAGGATGCTCATCGCCAAGCACTCTCTTTGTTGTCTCCATCACTTGCACCTCCAGCGTCTTAGCCTCGTTCCATCGCCCTTGGTTCCTATATGTTGATGCCAGGTTGGCCATGCTAGTCAGCGTGTCAGGATGCTCAT